TCTTACCCCAATCTGTTCTCTCAGTAGAGATTCTTCCTTTTGTTTTATGAGAAGCATGTATACCTATGGTATACTAAAGACATTTGAGCTTTTCTCGTTTGTTTGGGGGATACTTTTGTTTTGTTTTGTTCTGCTTTAAGAAATCATTTTATATGACTCTATTTTATTCTCTTTCTTTTAGGTAATGAATTTTTCTATTATTGGTTTATTGCACTGATTTGATTAATTTCTTATCTTTAAAGACAAGAACTGTCAAGTAGGATCTTTTTTGTTTGTTTGTTTTTTGAAAATATGGGAATTTTCCATGTGTTGTGTTTTTCATGTCATAACTGATGGCTTTCATTTTAAATGTTTAGAGAGTAGGTGTGTGGATCAATTAGCCATGAGGACATAACTGTTAAATTAACTGCTGTGGACTTTGCCCCCACTCCTGCCTGATTCTCTGTGTTTGTTTGTTTGTTTATTTATTTTTGTCTTCTGTTAGGTGTAGCTGTCATCTGCGCTTGAAACTATTATAAAGTATTTTACTTGTTCCATGTGATAATACTTCCATGTTGACACCACACACTACTTGTAGCCACTGGCTTTCTGGAGAGCTGATGGGATAGACGTGCAGGTGGGAGACAGAATTCTATTTGAAGTGTAGCACTCATGCATGCAATATCCACAGAAAGGTGCCATGGGGCTTCTGGGTTACACACTCTCACCATTCCATAACCAGGAGGCAGGTGGAAAAAAACACAGAGCTCTTAGTCAGCATTGTTGGCGCACACCTTTAGTTCCAGCACTTGGGAGGTAGGCAGAACTCTGTGAGTTCGAGGCCAGCCTGGTCTACAGATCTTGGAAAAGACATTAGATGGAAAGTTCTAAAATGGTCTCCTGTGAGGAAATAATATCTGAGCTAAACGCTAAGTGACAGCAGAAATTAATAAGGGATTGGGAGAAGAAAAATTTTTTGCAGAGCCATTGCACATAAATACCCCAAGGAGAGAAAGTCCTGAAACTTTTATAACAATCCTGGTATAAGAGAAATTGTCTTCTCGGTCACTTTGTCGATCTGGAAGGAGTCTAAGGACTTCCTTTATATTTATTGTTTAAGAAAATATGGAGAATAGAATACTTAGATAATGGGAGGTAGAAACTTCAAAATGACAGGAAGTAGAAAAGAAACTAGAAGAAGTTTCTCCTTTACCTCACCAAGCTGCACCAGATAGAGTTACATTTCCTTTCTGGTCCAGGCTAGGTATTTTCTTCATGCTCCACAAAACACAAACTTCATATTACAGAGGGACATATGGACCACTGGTTCCCCTCTTCACTGCTTCAACTCCTCTCCATCAAATTCAATTACCAAAATTACATTACACCCCACCCCTTGCACGTTGAGATCTTCCTAAACTCCAAGCACTTAGGCACTGAGCAGATTTAGTTTCTTGGTTGTGGAAGTGGGGACTGGGAAGTGTAGGTAACATAGATGAGCCCACAGAATGTCTGTGCCCCTATTTCAGAAAAGGGGGCTGTTGTACAGTCTTTTCTCTCTTGCTGATTACGAGAGAGTGTACATCAACAGTACAATCAGCGTAAGTTATATTTCCTTTCAACTTTGAAGATGTTCCTTTAGGATTTTGTATAATTTTGTAACGAAAAGGTCTTGAATGTTGATTATTTCCCTTAGCAGCTACGTGTGGGTGTAAGGATTCAGGCATTATGCTGGCCCGCCCCTGTCACCTGGCAGAATGCATTCAGGCAGTGCTCTGGTCAGCCCAGGGTTCTATGAGTACTAGTCTGCAGGCAGGTGCGAAGGACCCTTGAAAAGACAGACCCTGCCCACTTACGCTCTCTTTTCCAGCTCTCTTTGGGGCAGACAGTATTTTCACTCTTCTGTCCTCTCTCTTTGCTGTGTCCCTTTACCCCTTTTCCCCCCCCCCCCCCCCCGTTCCCTTTCTAATAAACTTCTCACTTAAGCTCTGTCTGCCTGGCAGGTTTGTCCCTCCACTTTGGCCACCCTTGCCTGCCTTGGAATCCGCCAAGGTTCCCCTTGAGCTTTACCATAACAGTGGGAATTTTGCAGATCACATTGATCATGACCTTGGCTGGCTTTTCTTTTTTTCAATTCAAGAACAATGCTGAGAATTTATGGCCACTCTCTGTTTTCTTCCAAAGGAGAAAGCTGTTAGAAGGCAGCACCGAGAGACTCAGCCTTCCCCTCTCAATGCCCCGCTCTCCTTTTTTATTTTACTACTTAGAATAAGTAGATCTTTATAATGGATTTCTTTATTTCCCACACTTGACCCCCGAGCCCCATCACCAGCCCTACCCGTCATGGAAATATTTAGAGGTCTCACTGTCATTAGTTGACACGTACAGGAATTAGCTCTAGGAAAAAGGTCAGTCTATCAGTCCATCACCTTTACTTCTTGATTTTATGAGGCATGTAAATTATTAAAGTCGTACATCACTCCAATGTTTAGGGAGTTTGGGGAAAAGTATTTGTTGAATCTCCCTAAGTACGACATAGATTCTGCTCTCTGACTTTCTCTTTAGAGTCAAACACACTCCTATTTCAAGCATGAATTGTTCAGTGTTAATATGTTATATAATGTATATACTGAGTACTTCAAATTTGTTCAGGTGTTGCTTGAGGAAGTCACAAGATAGATTGGGTCTGTCCAAAACTCTAATATAGATATTTACATAATAATAGTTTCTCCATATCAATATGCAATTCCCAAACTGCTTTCTCAAGAATTACATTATTACTCACTTTTAATTAGAATAAACACATCTTTCTGTCATATTCTTAGTCTGAAAAATCGAGGGGATAAATGCATAAGGACAAACATGGCTCACTGTGCCAAAGTACCTAGTTCTGCCTGCCTTCCATGTTTGCCTTCGCAGCCTGACTCCTTCAAATGTCAGAGGCAGGCCACCTTAGGTGATGCCAGAGGCAGGCCACCTTAGGTGATGCCAGAGGCAGGCCACCTTAGGTGATGCCAGAGGCAGGCCACCTTAGGTGATGCCAGAGGCAGGCCACCTTAGGTGATGCCAGAGGCAGGCCACCTTAGGTGATGCTTCATGCCTCTGTCTTTAACTTGAGAACAAGAATACATATAGAAGGGTTTAAACAAGAGGACAAGATCAGGTTGAGAATTTTGAAAAGGACTACACTGTAATATAGTCAACACAAATTCAATTGCACACACTTAAGTTGCAAGCTTATTAAAGTTTGACATATTGGTGAAAAAATTAATCTAACCTAGAAAATGCAGCAAAATAAGAGATCTTTTGCAAAGAGCACATACCCAACAACCCAACAAATAACTTATCAAAAATATACCAAAAAAAAAAAAAAAAAAAAAAAAAAAAAAGGCTACAACACCAGGAAAAACAAATAGTAAAGTATTTAAATACTCAGTGTATCAAAAATATGCAAAATATAGAAAAGCGTGTGAGAAAAGACCTCAATGAGCTCAGTTGGAGGAAATGCAGATTTATATTTGAAGAGGTCACATGGCTCCCAGAGAAGCTGCAAGAACAGGGAGGTTAACTGTTGCTGTAGAATCAGGTAAAGGCCAACAGTGGCTCACATTAAGAGGCTCAACTCTGGGGAAGCAAAATGAGCCAGGCCTTCACACTGAGTGGCATTTTTGAGAGTAAGCTATTAGAAACAACTGGGGTAGATTTCTGGCTCGTTTGTTTGAACAAGTCGGTGGAGCTGTTCACAAAGGTTGTGCAAACAGGCACAGCACGGAGACAGTTCAGGTGTTATGACAAACATAACTGTGATGTACCGTCACGTAGCTAGCATAGCAATGGGTTGTGTTCTGAGCCTTTGTCTTCTATGTGCTGTGGAATGGAACATGTGAGCTGAGGCTTAAGCTGGTATGGCAGGAAAGTGGGGATCTTGTCAGACACCTGGCTCTCCCTCTGACTCTGAGTCACAGGAAGTGACATTTCACTGGGGGCCTACATCTATGAAGCAGGGAGCATATCAAGGTGAAGAGGAAATTCTCAGAGCCCCTCTAATTCCTCTAGAACCTTCCAGTCCTCTGCCATTCCTGTGCTACACTGAGAGGGGACAAAGCTCTCCACATTCCCACCATCCCATCCAGTTCCTGTCTCCTCACTTAATGCAAGCATCACATTTAGGTAGATGTGGCCTCAGGAACCCAAAATGTCCTTTAAAATCTTACTAAATGACTGTCCGTCCAGCTTTTCCACACTTACTCTACAGGCTGCTCATGGAGAATGAGGACACCACTCTTTGTTTCTCTAACTCATTAGTGAATGCAAACCACACTTGAAGGTCTCTTTTCCATTCCGGTCTGGTTCCTACATTCTTAGAAAGAACTACAGGATCACTGAGTTTGCGCGGAGAGCAAGCCAGACTGTCGCGTTTCATTGCTGCTCTGAGTAGGTTTCAAACAGAGTGCATTTAGAGAATGCCTTTTCACCTGTCCTCTGTATCTTTTCACAGTTTGGCACATTCTGGTCTGCATTTTGCTCTCCGTGTAAAAACAAGAGAAAATAAAATACATCATTCAGATTCCTTTGTCTGAAAAATCTGGCATTTCAGTGGGGAATCTTCATTTGCAGCCAGCAAGCTCATTAAGGAAATCAATTTGAATGTCTTATTGTCCTCTTTTCTTTCCTCCCAGTTTGAGACTTTTTTTTTTTTTTTTTTTTTTTTTCTGAAGCTGACAAACCCCCTCTGCTCCTCCCAATCTCCACTCTCAGGCCCCGCTGGCTTCCTACAGAGCATTCTCAGGCCTCAGGATTGTGCAGTGTTGAGTGCGAGGATTGTGACCTACTCTGCTAACCCAGTGGCCTGAGCAAATCACCAGGAGGATTGGAGCCATCTGCCCAGTCCCTCCCCCCTGCGACAGCCTACTGGAAAATGGGACAAGTTAGCTATTCAAATAATTGGCTCTTTGCCATCTTCTTTTCCAAATAAGAAGGCAGGGGCTGCTGCTGAGGTGGCAAGGGTTTGGGGGATTACAGTGGTGGTTAAGACCCGAGTTCCTCCAGCTCCTACCTATTTTCTGCTGAGCAGGAACGCAAGGATGGTGGATGCTTTTTGTGCCACCTGGAAGCTGACGGACAGTCAGAATTTTGATGAGTACATGAAAGCTCTGGGTAGGTACAAGTAAGACTCGCTGTTCCCCTTTTATCTATGTATTTTGACTCTTTGAATTTTACTTGCTACGTTTCTGAGAGACAGGCTGAACATATTGTCATAATGCCAGACTGTAAATAGCCCACTTCAACGAATTTTTAAAGTGATATTTTCTTACCTCCTTGCCCAAATAACGGGACAATTTGTTATTCTGTCGAAAGTGTGAAGCTTCTGCCGCTTGGGGGAGGGTATTCAATATGTCTTCATTTGTGTTCAGCTGTTTTGTGGCTAATGGACTAATCATTAATCAGGTTTGAATGGAACCTATGCTTTAGAACTCTGGATTCTCAGAGTGGCAAGCAGATTTCTGCTTCATGAACTCTTCTGGAAGTCCCCGTTAACTACATTCGCTACTTTTGCTGTTCCAGGCGTGGGGTTTGCCACCAGGCAAGTGGGAAATGTGACCAAGCCCACGGTGATAATCAGCCAGGAAGGCGGCAAAGTGATCATCAGGACCCAGTGCACATTCAAGAACACAGAGATCAGTTTCCAGCTGGGAGAAGAGTTTGAGGAAACGAGCATAGATGACAGGAATTGTAAGGTAAGAAGCCACCATTCCTGGGTGGGGAGGATGAAGAGTCCCAATCCCTCTGCTTCCTAGAGGTGGAAGGGGGAGGGGGGATTTAGAATTTCCATTCTGGAAGAGGGAACCAGAGGTAACATTCCAGCATACACAAGTTGTACCCTAGACACGGAGTAATTTCCATCGCCAAGAAAACCCAGCCTGTTTTTCTCTTGTCCAGCAATTTTTACACTTTATATCGACCTTTACCCAACAGTGTTTATTTCAAAGAAAGACCACACACCATGTTGCTTCTCTCTCTTACCACCTCAGATTGACCAGTTAATTAGTCAGTCTCCATCTAAAGCTTTGCTTAAACAGGAGAAGTGAGTAGTTCTGTGTTTTTATTTCAGGTGTAAGACATTTTTGCAGCTGATTGTATACATTTCAGCCAAATTATCAGTGACCATGGTTTTGGATAACAGGGAAAATCTCAAAGTAATAGAGGACGAAGTACTGCTAGAATAGTTATTGGTGACTTACTCAGTCATGGCTCTCTCCAAAAGTCCTGTCGTTGGATGTCCATGGGAAATCAGCGTCTACCTGTTACTCATCCACATTTTTGTTGCTGGTTTCAGTCTGTTGTTCGGTTGGATGGAAACAAACTTATTCATGTTCAGAAATGGGATGGCAAACAAACAGATTGTGTGAGAGAAATTAAGGATGGCAAAATGATTGTGGTAAGTACTAGCAGCTCTTCGTCTTCTGTTCGTGCCCCCTTCTACCCTTCTGTCCTCCCTCCCTCCCTTCCTTTCCTCCCTCCTCCCCCTGCCTAAGCTTCTTTCTCTGCTCCCTTGATTCTTTTATAGTATCATTTGCCTATCAAGGTCCCTTAATAATATGTAAAACAGGAGGAACAAAAAGATCGGAACAGTTGTTGCTTCAGCTTGCCTTACGTGTACTTTTAAAATTATGCATTGATTTAGCCAGATATGTGTGTCTGGAAATACTGTTCAGGAAGATTTATGAAGATAGCTAATGCTAAAACATAAAGTAACTGAATTTCAGAGAAGTTACTCATTAGATATGGACACAAGAGCATTTTAAACATTTTATATTTCAATTTATAAAAGCACAGTCCAAGCAATTTAGAGTTTAACAAAAGGTGAAACTTTAATTTCTACTAGAACTGCTTGATGTCACTTCCTTGCAGTTTTTTTTAAACCGCAGCTGAATTTTAAACATGTTTAAGGATAGCTAGGCATGTAAATGCTATAAAGTAGAAAAAATAATTTTATAAATAATTTCTCTAGTTGTAGAAGTTAAGCCTTCATCTAGATTTATAGAGACCATTTTAAAAATTTTGTTTTATTTAACACTTTTTCACTTATTTTACATACCAGCCAGTTTCCCCTCCCTACTCATCCCCCCTTCTTCCTCCCTTCCAATATCCACTCCTTCTTCCCCATTCAGAAAGGGGCAGGCCTCCCATGGGCTTGAACAAAGCATGTCACATCAAGTTGATGGCCAAGCTCCTCCCCCTGCATAAAGGCAGGGAGAGGCAGGCAATCCATCATGGGGAACAGGTTCCCAAAAGCCAAAGTGCCAGAGACATGTCCTGATCCAATGCTAGGAGCCTTACAAACAGACCAAGCTGCACAACTGTCACACACATGCAGAAGGCCTAAGTCAAGCCCATGTAGGCTCCCTAACTATTGGTCCAGAGACCATGAGTTCCCATGAGCTCAGGTCAGCTGTCTATAGAGATCATTTTAAACATTGAAATGTTATTTAGTGATATTGTTAAGCTGGCTCATTGCTCTTGGGGATGCCTGGGTTCCTTTACAAACTCTGGCTATGATCAGACCAGAAAGGACCTTTGTTGTTGCTGTTACAGAACAGCTTACCCTCTTCTGTAATAATACAGCTAGAGCTATTCTGAACTGAAATACACTTGCTTCTTCTCACATGTGTAAGGTTTGGGGAGCAGAAAACAGAGCTTTCTCTTGAATCATCAACTAAGGAAAGAGTTCATTTCTTACAATAATCCCGCAGTTGTTTTTTAGGATGTCACCTTCATTTCTTGCCTACCTATAGAAAGCTGGAGCATGCTTAACTTTGGAAACTATGACTGAGCTCAGGCAAGACTGAATTCTGAATTGGAGATTAAAGCAAAGACAAGTTGTATTCTGAGAATCATACCAATGCTTGAAAGTGATGGGCACACTTAATATTTTAAAGTGATTTTGTATTAATTCTTCAAGTTCAGAGTTAAAGAACCAACATTCAATGTCATTGTCACATAAGCACCTGGGTTAGGTCCACATGGGCTAAACATGGCAGTCAAAGTAGAGAGAACACGATGTGGATGTGTTGCTGACCTTAGAATAAATCGTTACAAATACCATGAATTCAGATGCTTGAATTTTCTGAAGAAATCAGCCAAGGTCATGGATTAAAAACTGTTATGGAAACTTACCCTTAATCTAATTCCTTTTCAAAGCCAATAGTTGAGGTCACAGTGAGACACCAGCATGTGCCTTCCTTGCATCCAATTCATTCTAGGGCCCTTAATAACTTAACACAAAAGGAATTTTTAAAACTGTAATTTCAATTCAAACTCAATTTCTGCTCCCTTTTCATTTTCAGAAACCTGAACAATGTAAGCATGCATTTCACTCATTAGACACTGGGTTTCTTTTTGTTTGCTTAGGAAAGAAAAAGTGCATGCAATGTTTAATAGTTGTAAATGTCTCTGTCCTTCATGCTTAACATTGAAATCACATCCGTGAAAATGTTAAAAACTTCAACCCTGAATGTTCCTGGGTAACAGGATTCAATTACCTTTTGACTCTTTCAGACTCTTACCTTTGGCAATGTTGTTGCTGTCCGCTATTATGAAAAGGCATAGAAGAGATGATGGTTCTTTGGAAGTTCGATTGGCTGTAGTCTCAGAGACAGCCAACTACTGCACCAATGGTCACTCGTCAGACATGAGACAGTTGTCTTTGATGTGGAGGCAGAAAATTATAATTTAAAGGTGTGTTACTCCAAGCAACTCGTAGAAATTTTGATATGTGAAGTGACCCTCTTTTGCAATTTGCTACAATTTTTTAATAACTTTTTATAAAAATGGAATATGCCTTATGATTTCCTTTGGAAAGGAAACCCAAGTGGAATAAAAAGTATACATACTTACAAAAAGCTGGCTGTTGTTTTAATGTCATTAATCTGTCTAGGAACTGTCTATTAGAGAATTTTCAAATAAGATAGCTTTCCTTATAGCATAAACTAAGGCTGGAAAAGTAATACCTTGTATGAAACACTCATTTATAAAATAACAAGGTGACCCAGGAAATGTGGAGATGCCACATTTTTTGTGACTTTGATGAAGAAACTAGAATCAATAAATCAATAACTACGGAAGTTGGTTACAGTGAGTTAGACTACAAAAAAGACCTTTTGCTCTTAAAAACCAGTGCAAAAGAAAAAAAAAAGTGATAATGTGATAATCTAGTGGCATGCAATTGCAATGTCATTTACCAAAGTTTTTGAGTAAAAACAATTTTAAAAAAGTTGATTTCATCCTCCGTTCTTAGCATGAATTTCCAAACACCTCACTACACTGAACTTTACTAAATCAATAATGTTAAAATGAATATAGAGACTCCATAAACATGTTCAAATTCCTCTTTTTCCTGGGTTTGGGTGGAGGAGATGATGACATCAGAGCTAACCAAACAGAAACAATCTTTTTGTAGCTGGTTTGTGTTTGTGTTGTGTATACAAACCAATGTGACTGCATTTGAGTACTTGTAAAATGCTCTTTAGTCATTTTCTCAACCCGTGATATAAAACATGTCAGGGGATGCTGTATGTGTTCTATGGATAGAGTAAAAGTAAGGGTTGACGTTGCCTGGCTAAATTCTCATGACTAGCGAATAATGCTAAGAATGGCAAACTTTAGTGTTTCTCTTTATAGTTTCTCGGAACTCAGGGTCTCAGCTAAATTTCCTTCTAAAACAAACTATAAGATTTTATTATGATGATTCCTTAGTCAGCCTTTCCTCCACTGACTTTAGTATCTAAGTGATTTGGTGGTGGCGGGCACAGTAAAACATCTTTTTCAGAGAGATTTTTAATGCAACCTTGTGATTTTGTTACATTTTTATAAGTGAGTTCATGGTCAAAATATAAATGCTAGGAAATGTCCTTTACTTTATGTAGTTCACTACATTAATGCCATTACCTGATTGCTATAGGTCGGGGTCAATATTCCTTACCCAAAATACCTGGGGTAAAAAGTGGTTTGCATTTTAGAATATACATATAGGTAACAAGGTATCATAGAAGTATGATCTAAACACAAATTCATTTATGTTTCATATGCCCCTTTTTCACATAGTTGAGGGAATTTTGTAAAATATTTCAATGTATTTGAATTTTAACTAGAACCTGCCATTTAAGCTCAGATATGGAACCTCCCCTAGGTGGTATCATGTCAGTTTGGGACTTTGTAGCATTTTGAATTTCCAATGTGTATATTAAAGAGTCTCAGTGTGGTCAGGCAGAGTTGGCACATGTCTTTAATCCCAGCATTAAGGCAGAGGCAGGTGGATCTCAGTGAGTTTGGGGCCAGCCTGGTCTACAAAGTAAATTCCAGGACAGTTAGGACCATTACACAGGGAAACTCTGTCTCGAAAAACAAAAAAAATTCTCAATGTGCACTTTAGAATATTTTATGGTGTTTGTGTGTGTATGTGTGTGCATGTGCCTGCATGTAGGTGCATCTGGGTGCCTGCAGAGGCCACAAGACGGTGTGAGATTTCCTGGACCTACAGTGGTTTGAACCACGAGACTTGGGTGCTGGGAAGCAAACTCCAGTTCTCTGGAAGAGAAAATGTGCCCCTAAGCATTAAACTAGTTCTCTAGCCACTCAATATGTACTTTAATTTAGAGCACAGAAATACAAAATTAAGCATTTAAATGTACAACTATTGGTAGCATCCAGGCACACCTGGCCTACCTCTTCACAGGAATAGACTAAGTTGAGTGTTTCTTCTTGGCAACAGAGAGGAAACTGTAACAAGCATTGACAGTCATCAGAATTTCTTTTTGCCTTTATTGCCCATTTTCCCTGGTTCAGATGGACATGAATGCTCTGGGCCTGGAGACCTGCAGATGTGGGTAGGCTTCCATTGCTGGCATATGCGCACATGGGACTATGACCCTTGAGCTTCCTACTGAGTAGAAAGGAAAACCATGGGAAGTGAAGTGGATTTTAGGATTTCAAGCATTTCAAAAGTTTCACAATGTGTGTGCTGTATTTTGTTACTGCTACCCCTCCCCCCAAACTGGTTTCTCTCTGTAAGAGCTCTCTGGCTGATTGTCCTGGAACTCACTCTGTAGATCAGGCTGGCTTCCAACTCACAGAGATCCCGCTGCTTCTGCTTCCCAAGCAAAGAAGTGCAGCATCATCACCAAGCTTGCATTTTGCTTCTTAACTGAAAAGTTATTCCAACTGACTTCCTGTAATATGCCTTAGAAATTGAAAACAAAACAAAACAAAAAGCATGTGATAGGGCAAGACAGTGCAGACACTCTTCCACCTTCTAGAATTTGATCTCCTTACTTGAGAATGCAGTGGAAAATTACCCAACTCTATTTTAGTACCTGAGGCCAAGATGCCCCAGCTAATGTATCCTAATTTGTCTTAAACCTATCCCTGCAGCTGCAAAGCGAGATACCAGGATATGGTCTTTGCCTTTAAAAGATTCTTGCTCTAAATGTTCTGGGCTACACTTAAGTCCCAAATACCTGAGTATGGTTCCAACCAGCTGGAATAAAAACTTCCAATTGTCTCATAGGCTCCCACAATAATTAGCAAAAATATAATTTGCTTATTTTCTACTAAAACATTCACACTCGTGCTATCTTACTAATGATAATTTGCTCTCCATGAACTTTCCTGGTTCACGTTTCTTATACTCTTTAGATCAAAGACTGAGAAACTGCAGAGGCCACTTTGCCTGTCACTGGAAATCACTGTGGTTCGTCTACTGCTTAAGTCACCCCTGAAAGCTATAGCATGTCTAGGAGGAGTCTGGCTGCATTTGGAAAGGGAGTTAGTGTTCACTTAAAATCCCTTTTCATGAGATACAATGGTTAAATTATGGAGGCTGTGAAATAAGGTTTTCTTTGAGGGAAAATGTGTTTTTAAAATTCTTTGGTAAAATTACTTGAAGAAAATATAAAAATAATATATACTGAACCAAATTATGTGTAATCCTAGGCCTGGAACACAGATTCAGGTTACTCTAAATGAATGTTTCCACATGGTGGCAGAAAATTGTATAGCTACAGAACAAAGGAAGCAATAAAGCAATATATTTACCAGTTATGTTTGTAATAGAAAGAATATAAACCCAAGAGGGTAAATCTATAGGGTTCAAATGTAGTAGTCTTGGTTTTAGGGTTGGAGGAATCTAAAGAGCTTAAGCATAGTGATGTGTTCTAAGTTACTCTGTTAGTCATGAGAATGATGTGCTAGACATGTCAGTTAAGGCAACTGATTATTAAAGGGGCCAAGATATCCTAGGGAAATTTTGACTTTCCACCTAAAACATCCATCTTCCCACAGTGAATACCCTGAAGTTCAGCTAAAGCGTAGAATTTGCAGAATCTTTTAACTCAGCACATCTTCAAGGAACTCCAGCTCCCATCTTTTATGAGGTCAGCTTCTCAAAAGTGTGATCTTCGCCATACAAATCCCATGTCTTATAAACTAAAATTATTGGCTTTATTTTACAGAGGCTGCATACTCATAAATGCCAAGAGAAAGAACACAGGATACATGTCAAACACAGACTGGGGATTTGGGCTTCTTTGCCAATATAGTTTGCGAAACTTCCTTTGGACTGTAAAATCAACAGTCTATGTGTATTTACCAGGTATATTGCATCAGGGAATGCTGTAACTCAGTTGAGGGGGGAAAAGTTCAGCCTGGGGAAAATGGGGCATGGTTGGCAAACTCCACCTATCCATCACCTTGGAGGCTTGTAAAGCCAACCCGCAGCTGCGTTACATTCCCTGAGTGGTGATTCATCACAGCCAGCGTTAGGCTTTGGAATTTGCATTTCAATCCTCAGTCCCCAGTGGTGCAAACACCGAAGAAATCCAGACCCATTCTGCTACTCAAATGCCTTAACCACACTCCAGCGGTTCCCCGCCCCTCCCCGTCCTGCACCTGCCGTGTCAGGTAGGCACTCCCGGGTTCAGAGAAGATAAAGTGTGCCGGGTTGGCAATAGAACATTCCTTCCCACTAATCTAGGAAATAAGGAAGCGTATTAAAATAAAACCAGAGCCCAGAAGGTCAGGAGGACTCATGCTCTGGGGAAATCTGTCCTTGCACGTGATCTGGGCGTCTACACCCGGAGCGGCTGGGGCCTCCTCCCCACCCCCAGGACCTGTGGGTCCCAGCGGCCTCCTAGCCTAGCCTCTCGGGGCAGTGGCCGCTGCTCGCGATGGCGTTGCTGGCCACCTTCCTCTGCTGCCTGCTGGCTGCCTGGCCCTGCCACCCGGGCCTCGGGGTGCCCCTGGCGCCTGCCGGTCGCACTCCAGCAGTGGGTGAGTGGATCGCGACTGTGGAAGGGGCCGGAGAAGTTGCGACGGTGCGTGGGCGGCTGGGCACAGGACGCGGCCACGCTGGCCACTGTGGTCCAAGGCCACACAGCAAGGTCACTGAGTCCCGGACCATCGTGGGGGCGCCCCGTGGCCAAGCGCATTGAGCTGCCTGCAGGGCGTTTGTTTACATCCTGGGTCTGGGCTGTTTTGCGGGGGGGGGGGGGGAGGAAAGCCAAAGCTGCTGTCCCGCTGGAAAGGCAGCTAAGAATTGCCATGGGTACTCCCTAAGTCACCCAGTTTGCCCAGAACACAGTGGGACAGAGAGAGTCCCCGCACCGCACCTGGGCCCTTCTGTTCTGTTCTCTTTCTCTCCAGGTCTCCTGGCTTCTTGTCGCCTCCAAGCTCACAATAAAACTCTTGAGCCCTTCTTTATCCCTTGGTGTACTTAGGTCCTCGAGTCAGGGTGAACAGTTCTGCTCTTCAACACTTAGCCCGGTGCTTGCTCCACCCCCTGTCCTCTCTGTCCCCTCTGTCCCCTCGTCCCAGCATAAACAGCAGCAAAAAGCAGCTTCCAAACTTGGTAAAATGCATTAAGCTCAGCCCCACTCCAAATGTCTGAATCCAGACCTGTGGGGATGGCTGCCCAGGACCAGTTAACACTTCTGATCGCTCTCAAGTTTGGGTATCACTCTCCAGACCGATTGTTTAGTAAGATTGTCTGATGCCTTCTGTGTTTTCCCTTTAAAAGTAGTTGCTCTGGTTGGGTTGGGGTTGCTAAGAGAAGGGTTCTGGTTTGATTTGGGGAGATAGCTATCCTTCAGTGCTCAGGACTGAAATTCTGTTCCCTCTAAGCTGTTGGCCTATATAGGACTTCAGTAATGTCCTGGGGGTGGGGTGGGGGTTTGCCTGAGCATGAAGTGTGCAGAACTTAGTTGTCAAGTCTTTGCAAGCCACAACTATATGTCCGGTTTGCCATGTCTGGCAAATAACAATCATAACAGAATTTCCCCCCCAGAGTGTGTATGTATGCTGTTGACTTGTGTTCTCATTCTGCTGTTTAAATGTGTGACTGTTCAGGATTTTGACCTAAAAACATCTCAGGCTGCACCGCAGGCAAAGTCACCTTTCAGTTTTAAAGAGTTAGTTTTAAAGAGTTAGTTGCTGAAAACCCCTGTACAAAGGTGTGTGTGTGTGTGTGTGTGTGTGTGTGTGTGTGTGTGTGTGCGCGCGCGCGCGCGTGTGTGTGATATACATCTCCATGTAGCTTCCTGTTTTGGTAAGGGAGGCGACATGGTTGAATCACCCCCCCCCCCAGGAAGGAAGAGAGCCTAACTGGAGTCAAAGACCAGATGTGTTGCTGGTTTCACACTGCTTGGCTTATTTTACATGTTTTCCACTCACTGAGATCTCCTCTTCCTCCCTTCCTCTTCCTCTCTTCCTCTTCCTCCCTTCTACTTCCCCCACGACTTCTCCCTGGTCTGTCTGCTGCTTGTTTCCTACCTGTGTTTAAATTTCCAGTCCTAGTTTTCTTGTGTGCCAAGTCTGGGTGACCAGAGGACAGCCAGCTGGTGTTGTTTACCTGAATGTGTTTGACTCCTTTTTTAAAAATTTAGTACCTGTGGGTGTATTTAGCTCATAGGAACTGACTTTATAAATAGGAATACCAATGCCAACACGTAGTTAATCAACTACATACTTTTGACCATAATACAGTTCATTGGGTTTGCTGGGACGAATTATTAAGCTTTCTTTGACTTAAGCTTTGTTTCTTGAAAAGTTTGAGCATCTGTCCAGATAAATTTTGAGTGTTTATCTATCTAGATATGGGGAACACATATATATTGAGAAATCTTTACGAAGATTATCTGGAGATTAAGAAAGCAATTATTGTGGTAAAGAACTTTGGACTTTAGAAAATTTGATTTGAGTGTGATACTTAGTGTCACAGGCCAGACTGGTGGTTTACGGTCTACACACACACACACACACACACACACACACACACACACACACACACTTTATGTACAATTTCATAAGGTTAGAATGTAAAGCCTCTAGAAGTTCTGACTCATTCAAAGCCACCCTTCAGTAAAACCATTACCCCCTCATTTTTCTATCCAGCAAGGTGATGTGTTAAACAGCACGTTGTCACCTAGAGAAACTGGTTTTAGCTCAGCTTTCATTGTCTAGTCACGTGATATGGGGGGGGGCGTCCTGAATTTTACCTTTGCCTAAATGTTGTTAGTTATAAATTAAGGAGTCTTTGTTAAGGGCCCACTCTGTCAGACAAATTCCCGTTCTTGGGGCTCTGTGAACCAGGTACTGCATTGTCAGAGGATTCTGAAATGGAACCCTAATCCCTTTCAGGTTTTGGATTATGTAAACTTAATCCATTCATGTTCTCATTTACTTTAATCTTCCCCACACCTTCTATGTAGATGCCATTGTCTACTTTCATTTGAGGCAGCCCTTTTGACTAAGTATGTGGAAGGCCGTGCATGGTGGTTAAAAGCCACATGGGTTCTGAGGTGAGATTCCCGAATCAGTGTCTCAGCCCTCTTCTTGATGACATGTGACACTGTTTAATCTCTGTGCACTTCAGTTTCCTGTCTGCTATCATACAATAATGGTGAAAAGCCTAGAGAGCAGTCCTAAACTTGTCGTAAGTACTTGATGAGATGGAAGGGTTACAGGCAAATGGGGAAATTCAATTTCAGATGGCAGGTTTGATAAAATAACGATAGCAAAACAAAAATGTAGTTTGCTCAGTGTCATATGCCTTGTAGAGACCTGCTTTCTGCCACTCCTAAGTTACCTATTATCTTAAAGGACACCATTACATTCCCATCTGACACATGAAGCAGCCAAGGTCAACAGCCAGACTGAATTACTGGGTGTAGAACTTACGCTGGAAGGCGGTCAACACACACACACACACACACACACACACACACTTCATGCACAATTTCATTAAGGTTAGAATGTAAAGCTTCTAGAGGTTCTGACTCATCCTTCAGTAAAACTATTACTGTCAAACACCATTCTGTTTTATAAGTAGTAACTGCATGTTTACATGCTATAAATAATATAAACACAGGTTTACACAAAAATGAGATGGAGGGGCAACCTGCATGACAATTCCAATCTATTTGCCTCCTCTGCTTTGTGTGCTGGGATAGAGTATATCAGAAGTCAAGAAAAAGTTTATGGTATTTTGTGGAAAGAAAGAAATTACTCTTGGCTGATGTTTTCAAATACTGATTAATTGACCATGGATACTATTTTATATCAACTTTCAACTGGATTTTGTGCCTTCTGTTTCTTACATGTGAACCCTTATTATACAATTATGATGACACTGGAAAAAAACTGACCACCAAGACAATAACTTGTCCTTGCCACTTACCAAGCCAATCGTTTTAATTTCACTTCTGTGGCTCTAATGAAATCATTGCTCCATTGTTGCTAGGCAGTCACAGCAGGAACACAAGGCAGCTGCTCACATCCACCGTCAAGAACAGACAGAGAATAAATGATGAATGCTTACCTGTGCCCAGTTCTTGCCACACTTTCACAATCTGGCATCACTTGCCTGGAGACAAGTGCCCCTCCCTGTGGGCTGGGTCTTTCTACATCAAGGCTCAAGAGTTCCTCACAGGCATGCCTGCCCCAACTCAACCTCATTGAAATTCCCAATGATTCTAGATTGTGTCAAATAAACAGTCAAAGCATCATCATAACTGTTTTCACTGTGTGTTTCCCATTGAATTTTACTGTTTTGTCATTTTTGCATAAATCAAAAAGTTTGCATTGTTTTGCTGTTTCTCCTGGTATATTCAGATGCAAACTGAAATCAGAGTGATTTCAAAACTTTTAATATGTTAATATAGCACATTTAGGAGGCTATTCTGAAGAGCAATTTAGGAGAACAATCTGAAAAGACATGCAGAGCATATACTCACTAAATAAGTATGGTAATTAAAACAAAATAAGGGAAATATTTTCTCTTCTTTGATTCCAAAATTTAGTTTTTCTGTCCAAAAGTTTTCTAGTAAAGCTGAACAAATATCAAGTGTTGAAGAAGTTAATTATATATGAGAAACCAGCACAGAGGTTGAATTTGTATGTAAATTATATGTCAAGAAACTTGAGGGCTCTTCCACATATGGTCCCTTTTATGAGGGATCATATAAGTTGTGTATGCTTAGCAAATTTCCTACTTGAGTCAGCGTATTAGTTACCTTTTGTTACTGTGATAAAATGTCACTATCTAGACAGTTTCTAGCAGGAAGAGTTTATTTGGGTTTATAGTTCCAGGATAGGAAGGCATGACACAGAGCTGGATGAGGAAGCTTGGCGGTCACATTTTTAACCACAAATGGGAAGCAGACAGGGGGGTGAGGCTGTGAACTCTCAAAGCCCATCCCATTGTGACACACTTCCTCCACCATGGCTACTCCTCCTAATGGTTCCTTAACTTTGCCAACTGGGGACGAACTATTCAAATACCCTAGCCTATGGGGGATGTTTCTCATTCAAACCACACCCAACACAGCACAAGTCAAATGGTAAGTCCAATATTAGAGTCCCTTTGAGAATGAAGTGATCTAACATATATACATTTCTTAATACCACATCTGTCATATAAACCACTCCTGGCATATAATACAGATCCATAGTGGAAGATGTTATGACTTGTTCTAATAGTTTTGTTGTTGTTGTTGTTTGGATTTTGTTTTTTGTTTTTTGAGACAGGGTTTTTGAGACAGACTTTGGAGCCTGTCCTGGAACTAGCTCTGTAGACCAGGCTGAACTCAAACTCAGAGATCCACCTGCTTCTGCCTCCTGAGTGCTGGGATTAAAGGCATGAGCCACCAATGCCTGGCTCTAATAACTTTTTAATGAAGTAATATTTCTCAACATGATTTCCAAGTGGGATTGCTGTCAAATAGATTTGGCTTTTCCCTGAGACCAATAGGAGAATTGTCTTTTAAGAACTGCCTCCCATAATGTTCTATTGACGTTTTATTTTTTTTCTATGAGGCTGAGAGAAATTAGATAAAAATTAACTGAGATAAACATTTACTGTCTTGGAACTGTAGGTAATATTTTTAAGTGATTGTTTTTCCACAAGAGCAAAGCAAATAATTTCCCACATCTCAAATTCTGCAAGAAGACATGCTATAATACAATATGATATAATCTCATTGGCCTCTCAGAAAGATGGCACCAACATTTTATTGTCCAATCTCATCTTTATTAGAGTCTTTTTTGAGTAGTCTCCGAACTCATTGGTTACACATGTGTAAGTTGTATGTTTTTCTGTTATTCGAAGCTTCTTCGCCTAACAGGAGAGACTTATATTTATCTTCATGGTGTAAGAACACTGAAATTACGATGGCTTCCTTCTGTGGAGAGGGGAGCAGATGTGTCAATCTTACTCAAACCACACATTTATCAGTATTTCTTTTCTAACCAACAGGACAGTTTTGGCATGTGACTGACTTACATCTGGACCCTACTTACCACATTACAGATGACCACACCAAGGTGTGTGCTTCATCTAAAGGTGCAAATGCCTCCAATCCTGGCCCTTTTGGAGATGTCATGTGTGACTCTCCATATCAACTTATTTTGTCAGCATTTGGTTTTATTAAGAATTCAGGACAAGAAGCATCTTTCATGATATGGACAGGGTAAGTACATATGTAAACTCTTAATTATGTATTGTCCTACAGTGTGGTACTCTTCATTACAGTGCTAAATTCATAAAAGTCATAAAGAGTGTGGATGGTCGCACACTTATGAGTATCTAGGCAGTGCAAACTGGACTCAGTGAGCTAAAAAGGAAGAAGAGGGACATGAAATAGGGAGGGAGTGGGAGGTGGGTGTTTATCTAGCTAAGAGATGATTCCATAAATAACACACTTGCATCAGTATCTTGTAATATTGATTAATATGATAGTAAGTTTTGCTTAAACAATTAACAAAAGATAATAATAGATGTTAACGTGTGATGATGATTTTGTGAAGCATCATTTTATGATGAGATAATTAACTAAGTCCATCCATTCAAATCCTGTGGTGAGGACTGTATTTCTAGTTCCTGAAATAATCCTTATAAGGTGTTAACTTCATGTGGAGTTAGTACCTTAATTAATTTCTATTCTGCAACTTAGTGATCTTTATGTCCTGAGATCATATTATTTCCATGTTAGAGGCAACAAAATGAAGAGCTGAGATTCTAAACAACTTGCCCACATGTATATAATTACTTGTTGATAAAACAGATATTTGAAGCTATGCTTTTGGTCTTGTCCACATTTTGCTAATTCTGTGATTTCTTATAAATCTTGAGCAAGGCAGTCAAATCGTCTAGAATTTCCTGTATCAACCCCTCCCCTTTTGTAGGATTGTCTGTAGATGAAGAGTATTTATCTCACTCCACTCTCCTATCCCCTTTTGTGGTTATATTCAGCTATGTAGTTCGAGCTGATTTTGAAATACTGGGCTCAATCCATCCCTTACTTCAGTCTATTGAATAACTGGGACTAAGGGTATGCCATCACCATTGGCTACTCTTTTTCATTTTAACTTCTTATTCTGAATTAGACATGCATAATGATAGCTTCAATAAGTTATAATGCATAAATCTAGTGATTTATTCTTAACATTTCTGTCTCCTTTTCAGGGATAGCCCACCTCATGTCCCAGTACCTGAACTCTCAACAAGTACTGTAATCAAGGTGATCACTAACATGACATTGACCGTCCAGAACCTCTTTCCAAACCTCCAGGTTTTTCCTGCACTGGGCAATCATGATTATTGGCCACAGGTAAAACTGACCTCAACTTTCAGAACTGCTTTCCTTTTTAATAATGCCAAAATTATGACAAGGGTAGGGGATAACAATGGGTCTCGAGGAAGTACTCCTGTGATAGCCATCAAGGTTTTGGGTGTTTTCAAAAGGATAGAAATTAGTTTATGAAATATTATGCCAAGGATACATTTTAGAAACAACTTTCACAGAATGTGGATTTTTTTTTTATTCCTTTTTGTTGTTGTTCTTATAAACTTCTTCAGTTTCCCTACTCCTTTCACTATGTTTTCTTATTTACCATTTCCAGGATAGGCTTAGCAAGCAAAGTTAATATCAACAAGCATTTGCAGTTTCCAAAACCGGTAGACATATGAAGACCAGCACATTCTGATTTAAGGTAGATTGTTATTGAGGGCATCAGTAGAAAGACTCTTAAAAGAACCAAAGGTCCAGAGTTTCAGTCCAGCTTATCTGATTCAGATATGATTAAAGACATTATTTTTAGGATATTAACTGCTTGATGTGACCTGACTCTAGTCACTCACAGAAGCCATTTGTTAAGGTGCCTGTGCACACTCAGTCATGGTACAGCATTCTGTTACAGTCTGGTAAAAACCAACCTGGACAGTGGTGGTGCACACCTTTATCCCAGCACTTGGACAGAGCAACTGGTGGATCTTTTTTCTGTGAGTTCGAGGCCAACGTGATCTACAGAGTGAGTCCCAGGATATCCAAGGCTACACAGAGAAACCCTGTCTCAAAATAAAAAATGAACAACAACAACAACACAACCAAAAAATACCAATTTGTACAGAGATTTGCTTACGAGAATTGGTAGTTCTATTCTCTCCTGATCAAAAACCTTACTCGGCTTTGGATAATTCACATGTCTTTCCTCCACAGGTCACTCATTTATAAACAAGAGTGACGGTATTTGCCTTGCAAAGCTTATGTGCAAACCAGTGATAATATATGAAAAGAACGTAACATATTTCCTGGCACCTCATAAGCCCTCAGTAAGTGACGTTGTAGTTATTAAATCATACCCCAGATGAGTTCTTTTTGGATTTGAGATTTTTAAATTTTATCTTTATCTTTGTTTTTGTTCAAGCAAATCTTAAAGCAAGTCAAAGATATAAATACTAACTTCTATAAATTGTTCTATCTGCAGGGAAGTTGGTCTGCATATATAAATTACATTTTTTTTTTTCCTGTTTCTAGATTATGGGTTTTACTGATGGCAATTGAATCCAGGGTTTCTCACATACTCACCCAGGGTCTCCTGCATGCTAACCCAGGGTCTTCCACAAACTAGCATGTGTTTTCCTGTTGTACTTAATTTCCAGTTCCTACCGTGTGTGTGTGTGTGTGTGTGTGTGTGTGTGTGTGTGTGTGTGTGCGCGTTTCTATTACTTCTTTTCTTTCTGCTTCAGCTTCCCTAATGCTGGGATTAAAGGTTTGCACTCCATGCCCACATGATCTTTTCTTAATGTAGAAACGTGTTTTTGACAGTTTCGTACATGAGTACTGAGTTTATATAATTTTCATCCTTTCTTCTTTCCCTTCCAACGCCTCTTGTGCTCCCTCACACTCATTAGATACATCAAATGCTACTTTAGATATATCAAATATTACATGAACATTTCAGAAGAAATTCCCCCAAAGACTGCTATCTGGGATATAATTTGAAAGGGTACTAGTGTAAAATTTGAGTTGATGTTCTCCAGTAAAAGCCTTTAAACCTGCAGGGTAACTCTATAAACATACAGAGATGGGCAACTACCTTGCCTGACCATCAGAAGCAGATTACTTGCCCTGGAATTCTTTCCCATTACTGCTCAAGTAGGCAGTATGGACCATGGTTTCTATTTACTTCTACACTGGTAAGACAGGTGCTGCCAACCTCATCAGTAAGATCCCTTCCTATTATAGCTCAATTGTCTATGGTAGTCATGTCTCAGCCCAAAAGGAAACGATCTTATTTTTAACTCTTTCTGTTTCTCTTGTGTGTGTGTGTGTGTGTGTGTGTGCGCGCGCGCGCACACACACACATGAATGTGGATATCCTAAGAGGCCGGAGACATCAGAACCTTTGGGATTGGAGTTAGAGGCAGTGTAAGTCACATGGCTGCTGGGAACCAAACTCAGTCCTCTGCAATACATGTTCTTAATTTTTTTGTTTTAATCACAATATGTTGTCACAGCTTTGCTTACCACAAAAAGGCCAGTGCAAACCTGAGTCTTGAAGGGATTGTGTAGCTTTGTAATAGCATTCTAAAAGACTTCATTAAAATCTTCCGTCATCAAGTTTTCTTTAACAGCATGCAACACCAATCCTGCATGTTCAGGCTCTAACTTGTGTTGTTGTTTCAGGAACATACTTCTTTATCTCATCATCCATCCAGGCCCTAAGCACGAGCTTCTCTCTGCACATAGCACACACCTCTGTACTGCCAGGTTTATGTCTGGGCCATTTATTTTGCTCTAATGCTGACTTGAAATTGTTGTGCAATTCCTACTTTAAATGCTGCCTTACTCCTTGCCTGACGTAACGTTCTTGTTTTGTTTTCTAGGATTTCTATGGTAGCACTGGGCAACATGTCCTACAATTAGTGTATCAGCCTTTGTCTACCCTCTTTCAGCTAGGTTATATGAATTCCTAAAAGACTAAAAATTAGTGTCTACAGATGACGAACATAGTCAGCATTCAAGCAATATTCCAATTAATCCAAATATCTTTAAAGTTTCAATTGCGAATTTTCTTCGTTGTGACCAGGATCAGCTGCCAATAGCCACCAGTGAGGTCTACAGTGCTGTGGCTGACCTCTGGAAACAGTGGCTGGATAGAGAAGCCATTAGCACTTTGAGGAAAGGTTAGTGAAACACTATTTTGCTTCCCTTTTTAATTACTTGTTTAGACTTAAATCTTTAATGTTTGTTTGTGTCTTCCAATTCTAGAGGGTCTTTGTAGCCAGTTTGTTGAAAGACAGTAAAGAGCAGTGTGGCCCTAGGACACATTGGAACCCGTTTATCTCATGTGAGAGCTCTTTGCCTCTCTGACCCATCCTTAACCAAGATGTTCCACTTGAAGAAAAAGCTGAATTTTGAATGGGAATATAAACAAAAGTATATGTTTTTAATTGGAAAATGGATTGAAGAAAGAACAGATAATTTTACCTCAAAAGCATGATGTTATGAGGAAACATCTGGTAAAGTGAGAGTAACTGAGGTTTCCAGATGGGCCTCGAAGTGTATAGAAAAGTAGCATAAAGAATACATGGTGAGCTCTTCCCTGAGTGTAGTCGTCTCTCCTCCCCCGTCCTTGGGCAGCCCTTGAGAAGATGATAGGTGAAGCTGAAGAGTGAAGCTGTGTGTGGACCATACAAGTTAAAGATGCCAGGAATTTGCAACATCACCTAAGGGTAGATGTAAATGCAAGCAGAGTCAGCCCAGGAAAGGGCATGTGACACGTGGTCAGGAAGGCCATAGGGCTGCCCAATGGAAGCTGATTTCCCACTTCCATGGACAGTAGTTGTCAGCCATAGAGTTAAGAGTTAAGATAATGTTTATCTTGCTGGATGCCATCTTGCTTTTGTCTGAGCCTGCCTTATTATTTTCCCATTCCTCACTTTTGGAATAGTAGTGTGTGTTTAGTACGGACTTCAACACTGTGAAGAAATGCCTGGGATCAACAACTGAAGGGAGGAAGATTCATTTGAGTTTCTGCTTCCAAAGGTCCATTCGTTCATAGTCTTCTAGCCCCAATGTTTCAGGCCCCTGATGAGGCCAAGACATCATGGAAGATGAGTATGGTAGGGAATAGGTTCTTACTTCATGGCAACCAGCAAAGGAGGTAGGGAGGTAAGAGAGAGCTAGAGAGGGAAGGAAGGAGGAAGGGAAGGATGGAGAAAAGAGATAGGGAGGGGAGGAAGAACGGAGGGAGGGATAAAGAAAGCGAGAGCACATGAGTCCATGCCAGCAGACACAAGACATACCATTTGAAGACATTCCCCCTGTGTTCTACTGCCGGTGGTTGACTAGGCCCTACCTCCAGTACACTATTTAGCTCATCAAGAAGATGAGTCTCACGCCCCCTGGTGATTTAGTAACCTTTAAATAAGGCTATCATCCGGAACCAACTGTAAACACACATGGGTCTTTGGGAACATTTCAAATCTAAACTATAGCAGAATGTCTACCCCTTGCTATTGTATGTTGTAAATATTAATCAGTTTTTTTTTTCCACTTCTTGGGAGGTGGGCACGGGTAGATCTTTGGGACTCTGTGTTTCTTTAGCCTAGCCTGATAAAGTCCAGGTCAATGAGAGTCCCTGTCCCAATAAGCAAGATATATAGCATCCGAGGAATGATGCTAGAGAGGATGGCCTCTAGCCTCTATTACTGTGTGGAAAATCATAACACGTTGTGACTGTAGGGGTGAAAATGGAAGTTAAGAGCTTGTGTGTGATCAGTCATGACTGAAAGCTGTGGAAATAGATGCTTGGTGAGTGGGCACAAGACGAAGAAATTAGGCACAGGAATAGAGGGCCTCACTCTGAATGTTCCAGTATGACAGATCCTCTGGTGTCTGTCTCTACCGGTTCAGGGTTGGACCATGTGGGGTCTGATGTGTTCATTGTCTGGGTGTATCTAGCAGGGTCCTGTGCATTACCATTCTTTAGATTTTATATTTCATATCTCTCATCTTAAGTCCTGGGACTTAAGATTATTTAAAGCTAGGAGCTAGTGCATAAATTGCTGTTTTTTATTTTTTGACATTAAAATATAATTGAATAATTTGTCCTTTCCATTTCCTCCCTCTGATTCTGTCCCATATCACTCTCCTCTTGCTTTCTCAATATATGCATGCTTTTTCTTTGTTGTCGCTCATGTGGATAGATAGATGATAGATGGATGGACAGGTTGAAATATAGCCTTCTAGATACATAAATGCAAGCTTCTCAGTCTGTTACATATGTGTCTGTGTTTCCAGGGCTGACCACTTGGTATTGGATAGCCATTTGGTGTCTCCTGCCTGGAAGACTTATTTCCCCCATTTTCTTATTCTTTAGTTTCCTATAGTTCTGTGTCTTAGGTTGATGCCTTGTGAGCTTTTCCCCTTCTATGTTAGCATGTCTACTGGTAGTGTCCTTGTTCAGATCATATTCAGGCAGCCATATTGGTGAGACTTCATGTGTGTAGCTTCTCTGACATTTAGGACACACAGTCTCACAGTGAGCTCCCCAGCCCTCTGGTTCTTACAATCTCTCTTCCCTGTCTTCCATAGCGATCCCTGAAACTTAGGTGCAGGAGCTGTGTTGTAGACGTAACAGCTGGTATGTGATTCCACAACTCTGCATTTTGAGGATTTGTGGTTTACTGTAATATAAATTACTATGTTTTAAAAGTTCAATTTCATTTCCCACTGCCCCAACATGCATATTGGATGCAGCTATTTTTCCCTCATAGTCTTTCACATTGGACGTGACACCTGGTAACTTTATGGTTAATGTTAACTTAGATTCATACCCAGTGAGAGTGCCAGTCTGCGTTGTGAACATTAAGAGTTCACTTGCCCACTATCTGCACGTCTGTGTGTTCGTGTTCCTAATGCGTGTTTTACATTTGTTTTTACAGGTGGCTTTTACTCCCAGAAAGTTGCAAATCATCCAGACCTGAGGATCATTAGCCTAAACACGAACCTGTACTATGGCCCAAATATCATGACACTGAACAAGACAGACCCAGCAAATCAATTTGAATGGCTGGAAAATACACTCAACAGCTCTCTGCAAAATAAGGAGAAGGTAGATGCCATAGACTGGAATTGGCAGAGGACTAACAGAAGGATTAATTTGTTCATTGAGCTTGGGGCAGAATCAGGAATTAATACAAGTCTTAAAAATTCAAGATTTAAACACAAAGATGACTCAGGTCAATATTCTTGTTCCGTCCCACAGTACGGTCCACACAAGACCAACGCCATAATGCAGTGTTGCATAATTGCAGCTTGTTCCCTTCTCAGAAACAGGAGACAAAGTGTATTTGCCTTCTGAATTTTAGTTAATGTATGTTCTGTCATGGGTATGCCTCTGCTGTTTAGTAATGATAAATGTGCCAACAAGCTGTTATATGCCTTCTTGTATTCTCCTTTCAGGTATACATCATAGCACACATTCCAGTGGGCTATCTTCCTTATGCGACTGGTACCCCAGCAGTGAGGCGCTACTATAATGAGAAACTGGTGGACATTTTCAGAAAATACAGCCCTGTCATTGCAGGACAGTTCTACGGCCACACCCACAGGGACAGCCTTATGGTTCTTTCCGACAGACAAGGTAATGAGTGTGACCTGGGTGCTGGTCGTAGTCCTCCTTGCTGGACCATAGCTGTGACTGCCCAGTGTACTTACTGCCCAGGGCATTTCAAGCTTCGTCCAAAAGCCAAGTTCCTTGCTTTTTCTTGTTTATCTTGAACGGTTATATGCTGAGAGCACAAATCATAGGATTAGACATGTGACTAGAGTTCTTCATCATGCGTTCTGGTCAGCTGTGCAGGGCCAGTATTGTTTGTTTGGTAACCACACAGAAGCCTCCGAAACCCTTAGCTCACCCCAAGTTTTTGTTAGACACTTGAGTTTGGAGAAGTAATACTGTTTGTATTTCTCTTTATAAGACTTTGTTTTTCTCAAAATTTAAAGCACAGATCACAATTCACAGAATGCCTTAAAATATTCAGCATGTTCTTACTTGTTTTTGTCAGTCACTCACAATAAAGGAAAGGAAAACTAGGAGAAGTTATAGCAAGACACAGTAAGGGTTTGGTTTTATGTAGACAAAAGGGAAACAAGGTGCATTTTCTTCAATATTTTCATAATATTTTTCAAATGTTTGTCTCTCATCTACAACAAATTATCCTATAACAATGACTACTTTAAAGTTTGATTTTTTAAGATCATCATATGACATTTTTGAGAGAGAGAGAGAGAGACAGAAAGAGAGAGAGATTGAGATATTGACTGTGGAGCCCTGGCTGTCCTGGAACTCACTATGTAGACCAGGCTGTCCTCAAACTCACACAAGTTCGGCCTGCATCTGTTTATCCCAGTGCTGGATCAAAGGTGTGCACTACCATAACCAACCATGAACCATGACATTGGTTTATTGGTTTATGGTTCTTGATTTTTACGTTTTTTTTTTTTTTTGAAACAGAATCTCACTATGTAGCTGTGACTGGGTGACTGGGCTGAGGCTCAGTATGTAAACCAGGCTGGCCTCAGATTTTTATCTACCTGCCTCTGTCTCCCAAATGCTGGGATTAGTAAAGTCTTATGCTAATCAAATTATTATATAATTATTGAAAGTTTGCTTTACGCATGATTAAAAAATGGTCAGGTTTTTTTGTTTTTTTGCTTGTGCGTGTTCAAGTATTGACAAATTTGTTTTTCTTTGTGAAAAAATTTCAAATGCATATAAAGGTTTGGAATATGATTAATGTCCCTGTTTATTCATCATTTGTATTAAATGTGGATCAAGATCATGCTGTATTTATTTATCATCTATTCATTCTCTATCATCTCTTCATCACCACTATCATCTGTCTATCATTCTAAAATCTATCACCTATCTGTCTTCTGTCATCCATGTCTCCATCAATCATTTATATCTCATTTATCTGCGATCTATGTATATCTATCATCTGTCTAATCTATAACTAATCTTTCAACTATCTGTCATCTATTTGCCATCTACTTATCCGAAGTGTTTAAAAGTAACTTTTAAACATACAGTCAGTTAGAGATCTGTGTAATTCTATATTCATTGTTAGGGAATATAGGTGATTTATGTAACCATAATAACATTAATCTGCTTAACAAAATCAGTAATAGCTCTTTGGTTTTGGTAGTAAATACCCCTATTTTCTCAAAAGCAACACTAACTGCTTTGAGGTAATTATAATTGGAGGATTAATCAATGACCACATAATATTTGTCTCTTGGTCTCTTAACTTGGTCATACTTTTAAGGTTAAAGTGTTATAATATTCCTGACTTTTTTTTTTTTTTGGTTCAGGAAGCCCAGTAAATTCTGCATTTGTGGCACCTGCTGTTACACCAGTGAGAGGAATTTTAGAAAAAGAGACAAACAATCCTGGTGTCCGACTATTTCAGTACAAACCTGGTGATTATACATTGCTGGTAAGTTGAGCAGTTTGGTTGACCTCATATGTGAACATTTACATATGTCTTTGGAGTTTTCATTCATTCTCAGCGATGCACTTGCTGAGAAATGCACTTGATATTGATATCCCACGGTGTCCTTATTTAAAGATGTTATTTCTATTGTCATCTCTGTGGGTGGGTAGGTTTGCTTGTGGTTTCCATCCCTTTAAGGGCTTCGTGACCCTTTTTATATGTTTAAGACTAGGTCTCATGTAGCTCAAGCTGGCCTAAATGTGCTCTATTCTAGAGACTTCCGATCCTCTCGCCTCTATCTACCAAGAGCTGGGATTCTGGGGGTGAGCTCCCGTACCCAGGGTTATCGGGTGCTGAGGACTTGCGTATGTGAGGCAGGCAGACACTTTAAAAACTGAGCTACATCCCAAGCCCTGATCTTGGCACTTTTTCAGGATGTAGCCTTATTTGATACATACTATTGTCCTCCCTAAGAATAAACATTAATTATTCTCCTTCCAAACAGAATTATTTAGACACTATGCTCTGTCTTTAGCTGTTTTCCAAGCTTCTCTGTGTTCTAATCTGTTCTTCTTTAAAATGGGGATTAACATAGGACTGTGGAGGCTCAGGAGATCACTCTGATGGTAAAGTGTTTGCTATGTAGCCTTCAGGACCAAAGTTCAAAAACCCAGTGGTCACAAAATGCCAGGCATGGTTCTGCACATCAGTATCCTCAGTGAGTATTGTGAAGACAAGAGGATCCCTGGAGCTTGGTACCATCCATTCTAGCTGATAGAGAGATCTCCAGGTTCAGTGAAGAGACCCTGTCTCAGAGATAAGATGGAGAGCAATTGAGGAAGCTACTCATGTTGACCTCTGGCCTGCAGCGCTAAAACCTCTATGTGCATGTTCACACACAGAAAATGCATAAACATACACTGCACATACCTATATGTGCCACATGGACACAGATATGACTCTATATCATGAGTTCCTAAGATGCTTCCATGAAAAGGAAGCATTCAGAATAATAAATACTCGGGGGTATAGCTCAGTGGTAGAGCATTTGACTGCAGAATAATAAATACTCATACTAAGTGCTTAGTAAAGGTTTGGGAAAGTTGTTTTTCAAGGAAAAACTCAAATTGAACATTGATATTTTTTGTCTCAGAAATTCTCTGGCGCTCATTTGTGGCTCTCTGGAACAGTTTGATATGAAAGGGCTAACCCTCTTACTTGCTGGTGCTGATGCACTCCATTAATCCCAGAGAAACTCACACATCACAATTTCGAACTACCAAACTGACATCTCGGCCTAGCTGAGAACCTCAGGCAGAGGTCATGGGCTGGCTCAGCTGTCTCCAACACCAGCTGATTTCTATCAGCTGCTAGTGGGCGTCTCTAAGCTGTGAGAATTTATGGTGCTTTATTTTTTACATCGAACTTTATATTTGGATGATGTACTATTATATTCTCTCATTTTTTAAAGTGATACAGGTATTGAGAACTTTTTTTTGTGTATATATATATATATGTATGTATAATTTTTTTGTTGGTTTTTCATTTGTTTGTGTATTTGTTTTTTGAGACAGGGTTTCTCTTTGTGTAGCCTTGGCTGTTTCCTAGTTTAGGCTGGCCTTGAACTTTCAGAGCTCCACCTGCTTCTGCCTCCCAAGTGTTGGGATAAAAGACATGTGTCTCCATTGCCCAGATGAAGTGAAGTTCTTATAGAAATGTATTTGGACCATAATTTAAACCACTCTAAACTGGGTTTGTTATTATCTCTAATATAGGACATGTTACAGTATTATTTGAACTTAACAGAAGCAAATCTAAAAGGAGAATCCAATTGGACACTGGAGTACATACTGACTCAGACCTATGGCATTGCTGATCTGCAGCCTAGGAGCTTACATGGATTGGCTAAACAATTTGCTGCCATAGACAGCAAGCAGTTCCTGAAATACTACCATTATTATTTTGTGAGTTATGACAGCAGTGTAACTTGTGATCAGAAGTGCAAGACCTTACAGATTTGTGCAATTATGAATCTTGACAGCATTTCCTATGGTGATTGCCTCAAACAACGTTTTCTGAAGCACAGCCACTAGTATTTCAGTCTTATACATAGAACAAAGAAATCACATCATGGCGCCTGGGTGATCAGTTGGTGATCAGTTGGTGAGTGTCTCAGAAGAGTAACTCTCTGCACTTTCTTGTTTGTGAATCTCAGATACTGACATCAGTAACATTTGAAACTCTTACACATTGAATATATGTTAGCAGAGGGACATTTAAACGTAAATACCTTGTCTTCCAAGTTTGTACAATGATACCTAACTTATACTCTTGTAAAAATTGTCATGTATGCAATAAAGCAGGTGACTTCTCCATGGGTGTTACAGAGTTTTGCTTGCTTTTTTTGTTTTTGGTACTTGAGACAGACTCTCAAGCTATAGCTCAGGCTGCGTGGGAACTCACTGTCTAGTTTCGATTGGCCTGGAATCCAACAGTAATCTCCTTGCCTCAGTCTTACAAGGGTTGGGATTATAGTCATAAACTACCATGCCTGGTGGTACTTTTAATGCCTCCTTTACTTTTAGGTCAATCATTTTCAGTCTTTTAATTCCCTCTTGATAGAGCCTCATGTGTAAACCCTGCTTTAGATGGTTTCACCACATGTGTAAATGGAGACTAGCATTTTTGGTATGTTCGGTCTACTCTTGGGAAAGTTCAAAGATCTCTTTAGGGCTATCTCCTGAGTCTCTAGACCATCATGGGCATGTCCTGCCTAGCTTTATTCCTTTTGTATTCTAGGACTAGTGATCTGTAAGAATGAGAATCACATATGGTGTACTTACTGCAAGACAGTTGGTCCTCCATGATGATATGATGTTACATGCCCTATAATCCACTGGCAGTTGAAAACTGTCACGTGTTCTTTGGATGATTCATTTTAGTAATGTGTGTTTTGCCAAAAGCATAAAGCTAGAACTTCAGTGGGCTCCAGTGTAGAGAGTAGAGCTGACTCTGGACTTCCTTTCTGAATAAAATTCGAGGCTTGATAATAGTGAGGATTGCTAATTCATTCGATAAACAAAGTTATGATGGAAAAGTCAATGACATCATGTTCTCAGAGAACTGACTCACTCTGAGTCATTGCATGGCTCAGTTTTCAAAGCCAAATTGAAGGTATAATTCTTTAATACTTGGTAATTTGATTCTAAAGTTATACTTAAAAGTAAGCTCTCAAAAAAAAAAAAAAAAAAAAACCACCACACACTAAAAGATACACTTAAAGTTCACAGAGCATCATTATGTAAAATGGACAATGTATCCAAACTTGTAAACCACAAATACAAATGATTGCACAATCACTTTTAGTATGGATATAGAAATCTAGCTGTTAAAGATAAGTGCATTGTTTCTTCTTTGGAGAACGATTTGGGGTGAAGGTACAGAGACACTCTGAGGATTAAAACACTCTAGCTAAGAGGAGACTATCTCTGGGCTGAGGTGATGCTAACGAGTTCCTGGTATATTTTAGAAGTAGATTCATTGCCAGTCTGTATATAAAAGATAATACACAAAGTTCTGAGCATCCTATTGCGATTGGCATTTCCTTTGGGCCACCAACCAGCTCCCAAATAAAGACATGGCGACTTGTTATTATGAATGTTCAGCCTTAGCTTAGGCTTGTCCCACTGGCTCTTTTAACTTCATTTAAACTATTTGTATTCATCTACATTTTACCTGTGGTCCTTTTTACCTTTCTTTCATTCCGTATGTCCTACTTTTCTGCTTCCTCATTATCTGGTTGCCTGACCCCTGGTGTCTTCCTGACATCTATTTTTCTTTCTTCTTCCAATCCTAAATTCCTTCTCCTATTTACTCTCCCTGTCCAAAAGTCATGCCTATACCTCCTCCCTCACTATTGGTCATTCAGCTTTTTATTTGACCAATCAGGTGCCTTAAGCAGGCAAGGTAAAACAACAACGCATCTTTACATAATTAAACAAATGCAACACATTTTTACATAGTTAAACAAATATTCCACAACATGATAAATACAGCACATCTTTACATAGTTAAACAAATATTCCACAACATAAACAAATGCAACACATCCTTGCACAGTTAAATATTCAGCAACATCTAGTGAATGGTAATATGAGAAGGGAGTTGGGCTTCCTGAAGAAGTTAAGGTGGATGGCAGGATATGATGGTCAGAACAACACAATATAAACATTATTGTGTGTTACAGCAAGCTCAGCATACCCAAGAATCCTAGTTCATAATATGTTTGTCCCCACATATATGTTCTTGAATGAGAATGTCTCCCCATAGGCTCATGTGTTTGAATACTTGGTCACAATTGGTGACTTGGTCACAATTGGTGGTGCTGTTTGGGAAGGTTTGGGGGAGTTTGTTGCCTTTTTGGAGGAAGTACATCACTGGAGGTGACTGAGAATTTCAAAGACTCTTGCCATCTCCAGGGTTTTCTCTCTGTTTCTTGCTTGTGGTCCAGGATGTAAGCTCTCAATTTCTGATCCATCTGGCATGCCTGCCACATCCCTGTGATGGTCATGGACTGTATCCTGTAGAACTGTAAACCCAAATAAACATTTCTTCTCTAAGTAATCTCAGTCATGGTATTTTATTACAGCAATGGAAAAGACAGGAACCAAACCATCTCAGACTGGTTTTGTGAATAAGATTATTTCTCTGAAACTATATTTGTTTGTGACTTAATAGAAATGTATCCTCTATCCACTTCTCTGCTGGTACAGTTATAACTGAAACCATTCTAGACAAACCACTGTGGGGCATTTAAGTGAGAGAATAATAAATAGTATTGATTTAATTATTGATGAGCCATCCATTTTTTTTTTGCCTTAAATGGAATCATCTTCTTAAATATCTTTCCAATGGAGCAACTGTGTGTGTAAGCAAATGTCAGTCAACCATTCCAGAGAACACTGGAAAATCTAAGGAAAAGACACCGAATTTATTCATGCTATAACTTCTGTCTTCTCAGACAGACCTTTTGACTCTGCTTCCAAAGTTACCCTCATTAAATGAACTGACTCAGCATCCTTACTTATGAATGGGATGGAGTTTTCTGTAATATGTATTTGTCCTTAAATGTATGTTAAACTTTATATTTTATTACAAGAACTCAAGTCTTACTGTATCCCAATCGATACGTAATGCATCCCTTTTATGAAGGCTTTATTTCCTTATGTTTAATAACTGGTGATCTAGGGAAATGTCTGTGGATGTCCCTGCCATTTGTCATTTATCTCCGGGGATTTTCGTGCTAGAGTCGGATCTGATAAAGCTGGCTGATTGATGGCCTTTCTCTGCCTCAGTGCATTCCTGCATCTCTCTTTACTACCTGTGTTCTAATCTGAATAGATTGCTTTTATACTTTCTAAATACAAATGCAATTACACACATCCTTGCCTGTACTTGCATTTTTTTCTGTCTTAATTAAAAACTACTCTATTTTTTTCCTTCTTTCCTAAACTGTTTTCTAAAAGACTCAACATTAAAAATTTCAGTCAGTGTCAAGGTCCCCTCCCTAAGGCTACCATGGTCTCTTCCTCACTCGGCTTAGTATCATTTCTCCTACCTCCTTTCGTCTCCTTCCTTTGCCCCATTAATCAATAGAGAAAAAGCCTGTTTTACTCAGTCTGTACCCTTATTATGTAGCAGAGTGCTTAACAAATAGCATTTCAGTCTTCTCAGCTGACATGATAAATTAAAGACTTGGTGTCTGGGTTGTGTACAAAACAGTTATTTTCTAACAGCTCTGGAGGTTGGTAGTCCAAGCTCCATGTACCTGCAAGACTGATTTAGGGTTTCTCATAAGGAGACTTCCTTGCTTTCTGTCCTATAGTACAATCTTTCCTTTGATGTATGTGGTGGTTGGGGTGTTTTGTGTGTGTGTGTGTGTGTGTGTGTGTGTGTGTGTGTGTTCAGGAACAGGGAGAGAGAGAGAGAGAGAGAGAGAGAGAGAGAGAGAGAGAGAGAGAGAGTCTTGCTTCTTTCTCTTGTAAGGACTCTCCCTGGAGAAATGAGGCACCCAGTGAGGGGAAAGGGCCCATTGTTAGTAACTTCAAGTTGCTCACATTTGTTTTGGGGAGAACAGACACCAGAGTTGAAAGATTAAAGATTAAAACTACAGAGTCCGGGCCATGGAAAAAGATGAATAAAAAGACATGCAGCTGAGTGTGAGATGGTCAACTGGGCATGGAAGAGAAGGGACAAGACTCTGGCCACTGAAAGCAGGCAGCTGGCTCTCCCAAACCCTGGAGGCTCTATTGTTCTTTCATATATTTTTGCTTCTGATACAGCTATTTGTAACAGACTGAATTGTAAGTAAGAATAGCTTCTAGCAAGCCTGCATGTGTTGCAAAATGTTACTTTAACTAGGCAAAGATGTGTTACATTTGTTTGTACTGTGTTTGTTTAATGGTGTAAAGATGTATTGCTTTGTCTGCCTAAGGCCTAATGAAAAGGTGAATGGCCAATAGCCAGGCAGTAGAGCGATAGGCAGGACTGGTGGGCAGAGAGAATAAGTAAGAGGAGAGAAGGAGAGAATGAGGGAGAATAGGAAGGACATGCCTGGGGCCAGCCAGCCAGGCAGCTGCAATAAAAGAAAAAAAATAAAAATAAAAAAGCCCTGAGGCAAAACAGAGATGAAGACAAGCAGGTTAATTTAAATTCTAGGGGCTACTGGGACAAGCTTAAGTTAAGGCCAAACATTCATAATATTAAGTCTCCATGTCATGATTTGGGAGCTGGTTGGTGGCCCAAAGAATGCCTGCTAATGCACCTGCTTCAAGAAATAGACCCCCAAACTACCAATATAGACAAAAAAACTAAATGTAAAGTAACCAAGAAACATTATAGCTATATCCTGGTGGCTGTGGTGGAGTTAATCCTCTGCTTGGTAAAGCTACAAGCTGATCATGTAAATGTGAGATAAGCTAGAGCTTAGTATAATTCACTACTCTTGAGACACCTGCAAGGTCGGAAGTTAGGGAACACCAGTCAAATGACTAACAGCTAGCCGACAATCAAAGGCGGTTGCTAGGGAAGGAATCAGGGAGGCCTCAACCACCTAACTGATGGGTAGTACATGAACAGTGCATGATCATATCCCTGGATGAACCAGGGAGATGTAGAGTGTGTAGGGTCTCCATTGACTCAGTCCTTGATAGCCCAGAGAATGAACCAATGTCAATAGAGGTTACCTCAACCTTTGTCTAGCTTCTGCCATTGGCCTATAAAATTCCTAAACAAAGGAATCCAGTGGCTTCTCCCCCCCCCTTAGAATCAATTCCCTCTCACTTTTCTTTAATTGTTCATTTTCCCTCATTTTTTCACTGTTCTTTAATAATACTTGATAGCAACAAAGCCCTCTTCTACTGTGATTGCTCCCATGGAGTTCTGAGTCTTTCACTTTTAACGGATGTTAAAAGTAAGTTACTACCCAGGAGCTACTGTCTCAGGCTGGACCTTGATGAGCCTGCATATCTGGTACCTTAGATCCTTGGGTCATATAAGCTGGGTTGTGAAACTTTCGCTTCTACTCAAAGGCCATGCATCAGAATCAGGTCCCACCCTCTACTCTTGTCTAACCTTAATTGTATTCTGTTTTGTTTTGAGACAGGATCTCACTATGTAGCTCTGGTTGGTGTGGAACTTGCTATATAGACTTTGGTCTGGAATTCACAAATGTCTCTGCCTCTGCCTCCCAAGTCCTGGGTGATAGGTTTTCTGTAATGTGATTACAGGTTTCTCGGCTGATGCAAGTAAGCTAGATCAAACCTAATTGAAAAAGAACAGGTTTATTTGAGCAGAGCATCTCACGGTGAGTTCTCCAGCCCCAGAGATGAAGGCAGGAGAAGAAGCAGACGTCACCCTCTCAAACTAAAGCAGGGAGCGTATTTACTCTGTAGGCCAGGGGTGATGATGTACCCTCCACAAGCCGTGTTTGTGCCCAAGTATGGTCAAAAGCTGAGCATGTTAGATGGGGTCTTGGGCTACTGGCAACTCCAGGGGAGGAGCTGCTGTGGCTGCCAAGAGTGCAGAACTGAGCAGATGAATACAAACAAAGTATTTTGACATATGCTGGGGTGGTTTGGATGAGAATGTGCTGGGAGCGATCGTTGTGTAAGACTTCTTATAAAGATTGCCGATCTTCTCTTAAAGAAAAGCCCATTGTGTTAGAAGAACAGTTACCTTCAGTCCCTTCCCAACTTCCTGATAAGTAGAATTTGGGCTTATAGGAATGCAGTTAGGTTATTCAGCAACCCCTCCTCCTCCTGTGACCTTTTCACCATGGCAACATCCTGCTTATCTCCACCTGTATCCCCTTTAGCTGATATCCTGCTCACCTTCATTGACCTGAACATTCTATGGTCAGGTTACCAGGCAACAACCCCTCCCTTCTGAATCCCCGCCCTACCTAGCTCCCTGCCCTAACCACTGTATAGGGTGCTTGAGAAAAATAAAATTTGGCAGCTGGATCAGAATTCCTGTCTTGCTGTCCTTTTCTAGTGTCTTCCGTCTTTCATTCCAGGTCCTTTGAGTTCAGGCCCTCGTTGCTGCCCTGCTGGCCGGGGCAAGAATGTCCCCCATAGGCTCAGGTGTTTGAAGAGTTGGTTCCAGCTGGTGGCACAGTTCAAGGGGCCTAGGAGATGTGATCTCCATAGAGGAAGTACATATCACTAGAGGTGGACTGTGAGAGTTAGAGGACTCACGCCGTTTCCTACCAGTGCTCTCAATTTCCTGTTTATAGTTCAAAATGTGAGCTCCAAGCCATTCCTGCCACCATACCCTGCTGCCATGATTCCCTGTTATAACAGGCTTTTTAATTCCCCCAATGGAAACTTCATTTTGTTTTCTTACCACCTCGTTAAGGTCTCTGAAGGGAAAAATTCCACAATTTCAGTAGGAGCCATGACACCCAACTTAGCTTTAAGTATTTAAAGCACCATCACGGGTAACTGCAGCAGTAACAAAGGAGTGGTCTGTTGATAAACTTAATAGTTTCAGTTCACTAATTAAAAACGTCCCCTGTCTTCCAAGTCATCAAACACTTAAATCTAGTTTAACTTGAAATATTCCTTAAGCTATGTTCATTGCGTTGATGAGGACTTGTAGTTTACTGTAGGCCCAGTACAACAGTTTGTTCTTTGTCAGTCAAGTTGCAGGCCCTCTGTCACTTAATGTCACTAATAGGACTTGAGGTACTGGCAGAGTGCAAAGCGACAACCACGATGAAATCTTAGCCTTCTGGAGCCACAAGTTCAAATACTCTTCTTCTTCTTCTTCTTCTTCTTCTTCTTCTTCTTCTTCTTCTTCTTCTTCTTCTTCCTCTTCCTCTTCCTCTTCTTCTTCTTTTCTATAAGTTGCCTTGGTCATGTTGTTTTACCACAGCAACAGAAAAATAGCCAATACGTACACGCATGAAACTGTCATAATGAAACCTATTATTGCCGACTTAAAAATACACCAAGTTTTTGCAGTGAAAAAGTAGAAAAGTTATAGTTTGCTTCAAATATCACTAAGTGACTGAGAAGTGAAGGCTGAAATGAAAAGAAGAAAAAAAAAAACTCTCACCTCAGTCTTGCCCTGGGGACCATTAACCCTAGGTTCCAATAAAGCCACAAGCACCATCTTATGGCCCGGTCTTGCCACAAATAACCAGTTAGTTCTTTTCAAGTCCCAGATCCTGTGTTTGGAGCTCCCAGTACGGAAATAAACGAAGCAGACATACTTTCCTGTTCTAGTGCAGTTAACCAGAATGGACCAGTGCATGGTGAACATGCATCTCTCTCTCTCTCTCTCTCTCT